CCACAAGGGGCTGCAGACACCTAAACTCACAAGCTCCTGGTTTGCGACTCAGGGGAATGATGATCCCATGTCACATGGGCCCCACTCGAAAGGTGATCCGTACCCGTTGATGTTTTGGGGATTTGGGCTTTAGGATTTAGGATTCTGAGTCTAGGATTTTAGGTTGACGATTTAGGATTTAGAGTTTAGGGTTTAGGGATTAAGGTTTAGGGCTTAAGCTTCAGGGTTTAAGGCTTAGGGTTTAGGGTTTAAGGTTTTAGGGTTTTAGGTTTAGGGCTCAGGGTTTCGGAAGTCCAGGGCCTAGGGCTTCGCCTCCGGATGGAGCTCCCTGGGAGCCTCTGAGCCGCAGGCGAAGTATGACTTCGTGTACCTGCCGATCGATTTCCAGAACAAGGTCAACCTGGGGCCCCACGGCTTATAGGGTTTAGGGTTGAATTGTAGGGCTTAGGGTTTAGGGTTGAATCTAGGGTTTATGGTTTAATTTTGGGTTTAGGGTTTAGGGTTTAATTTAGGGTTTCATGGCATGGGAGGCGGTGTGCTGAGGGTCAGAAGAGTTGTCATCACAGTTACACTGCAACACGCACCAAAATCCTAGGACTCAGGCCTCTATATGAGTCCTAGTATTCGGTCGTAGCGACTATGTCTCGCGGACTTTCTTGGTTAATTGCGACCCGGTGAGCCTTGCCTCCTGAAACTCTTTGCTTCAGAAACTTATTGGTTCTTGCTGAGGGACTTCGTCCAAGTGACCACCGTGCGAATCTCTCGCAAATACTACCCAGAGGCTCCTAGATATGGTCTATGGGTGGAATTGCTCGACCGGATCCATGTCTACAGAATGTATGATTCGTAATTCCACGAATTCACAATATAGGTCGATGCTTGGGGGGAACTTGACAAGGCTAAGCCCACGAATCCGATACCCCGAACACCCTTTAAACACTAGTGCCCGAAATCTAAGCCCTAATCCGAAAAACTACAACCTGGTCCCGAGGCCGAAACCCCAGACGACACCCCGTCCGAAGACTAAGCCCTCGAATCCGAAAAACCCCAGATGGCCCAGAGAATGTTTGCAGCCTCACGCGACTGGCGTCGATCCGTTAACTCGCCTCGAATTACTAATTAAAATTTTCGGCTCATGATGCTTCAGACCATCCTTGGATGCTCATGCATGCACAGGCAACATAACATTAGGCTGACCTTGCTGGCAAGCGACGTCGCATAGAAGCGCTGCAGCACCGCTTTCTCAACAGTCGAGCGATGACATTTCTGCGACAAACCTCAGATGCTACGTATATATCCAGCTACAGGCTTCTAGATTCCAGTCGAATCTGCAGATGAGCCACCCTTGAGCCGCCCCATATAGTCTTCATCTAAATAAGTGTGCCAGTAGCGAGGGTTCGTACCTAGTTCGCAGCTGCCAGGAATTGGTGCATAATCTAGGGATGGTGCTTCCAAGCTGCGGGTCATCTGAGCCTGAAAGGCTATCTCCACCAGTGCCTGGTCTGTTTATACTAGTGATATGCACGGATCGATTAAGTACTAGTGGATGCCCAAGCACGTGGTGCTTCGGCTTCAATGGCCAAAGTCGTTCATTAGCATCAGCTGCAGCAGTAGCCAAGCGGGCATATGCATGCATAAAGGCGGCCTTAGCTCTAGCAAATTCGGCTGATCATATGGTACTAGTGCCTGCATGCTAGTTGCAGGCTAGAATCCACTTTGTCACTAAAGCCTTGCGCTTCCGCCTCATTGAAGTATCTGCCGTGGTCTTCGAGGTAGTTGAAAATATCGGCAAGCCACAGCCTCATGGCTCAGAGATCGAATCCAAATTTGCTGTAGATCCCAAACCCTAGAACCCTCCACCCTAAAGCCCCGAAAAAACCCTAAGCACCGCAAAATAAAGCTATGCAACACACAACGGGATGTCCAGAGCAGTCGTTCATCGTTGCTTTCTCGGCAGCGGTCCACCACCACTGCTGCCAGCCATGCAATGACGACCCGGACCTGATTTTTAGAAGTCGCTTTGATGGAACTGTATAGGGTTCGGGGTTTGGCACTGTATTGGACAAGAATCGTTGTGCCCCTTTGCAGCCAGCTCCGGGTAGCCGGTTGTAGCATCCCGCAACAGTCTCGAGCAGAACTGGGGCTGGCTGTGCCTTAGAACTATATACATGTATACCCCGGATTCGTACATTATGAACCTTATAAGCTAAGGCGCTCGACTTTGTTGTGTCTGGTCCAGCGGACGAACTCGTAGTAGGCATGGTACAGGCGTACATTAAGTGCATCACGTACTCTTGGAGATGGCCACAGGTCCTTGAGATATAGGGCATATTAGGTTGCAGCACTATAGCTAATATTACCGGGTGTAGCTAACACTATGGTGTGTAATGTATTCTAGGATGGTTTAGGCGGGTTTAGGGTTTAGGGTTTAGGGTCAGGACGGCCTCAAGTTTCAGTAGTTCGTAGAGCACCGAAGCTGCCACCCACTGAGCTATTCCCAAATTAATGGTGTGGAGCGTGCACCATTTGAGCATCCTCGAGTCAAAGTTCGCCAGGTGAAGAAGCATACCTGATTGAGTTGAATTCATAAACATTAAATATATTATTAGATCTAAGAGCTCAGGACGAATATATAAAAAATGAATAATCATCCAATCGACTCTTGTTCCCATTGGGACCGGGTTTGCATTGATTCTCAAAGCTGATAGCATCACGTCTAGTTTTCACGAAAGGGGGTCGTAGGAAGTCTGTTCTTTGGGCCATGCAGTGGTGACAAAGGAAATTACTGTTCCAACCACAATGAAGGTTGAAACACTCTTTCAACCATTTCCAATCCCCGCGCAGCTCGGTAGTGGCCATCCGAAGTTCAATCCCCCGCGATCTCAGGGGAATAGCTGGATGCCTGTCGCCACCCGACAGCAAGGGTCCACCGATGAGTTCCCGGAGCTTCTCCTTTAGCTCGTACGGTTTGTCCAGGTCGGCAGGCCAATCATGTTTCTCCGGGTCGGGCTTCAGACCGTAGAAGCACAAGTTCAGCGACAGCACAATCTAAGTTGTACATACACATTGCAAGATTCAGCACTCAACAACCTCAGACCGAACATGCTTTAAATGCAAACAGGTTTCGGGACGGAGGAAGGCCTGAAGTGTTTCAAAGCCAGTGCTAAGAGCCTTGGTTTTTGCACAACATGTATACCAATAGCTCGCATGTGTGGTACAGTTCGAAATTCTAGTAGCATACACATACACGTGTACATATATTGCAGACATGGCACACATCGAATCACACATAGAACATACCGGCCACGACGCTCCCCCAAAACGAAGTTGAGGCTAACTGCTATGAGCTTTTGCCCTGCTGCCGTGAATCTGAAATCGTCTCCATGAAGTCCTATCGGGATGACCTTGTCGAGGTCTTTTTCCGAATGTAGCCCCGGATGCCACGGCATCCCAGTCTGCTCAACATGACACCAATATTCCCGAACACTCTGTGGCGTCCCAATGGTGTCGTAGAGGTCGACAGAACTAAGTCCATCCAGAAGCCAAGGCACCAATTCATGCGGCAAGATGACCGGGAAGCTCCTATCGATGCCACCGATTTTGCATTGGGTTAGAAAATAAGGTCTTAAGTATCTTGGGTCTTTAGGTTTTTGAAATATATATGGCTTCGAATTGCGGTAACGGGCTGGCTTTTGATGCACACGAATGTCCTGCTCACCACCACTTGTTGGCCCTCGACCATGTCATACACAGGAACACTCACGGACCGCATGGGCACCTCACCATACGACCAGGACCCAATATAATTAGATTATTGATAGCAGGCCTAGGGGTTTAGATATTTGAGGGGGTAGTTTAGGGGTTAGGGTATTTAAGGAGGAAGTTCAGGGCTTAGGGTTTCCGGTTTGAGGTTAAAGGGTTTCGGGTTACAGTATCGGATTTAAGACTCGAGCCTTGGAGCTCAGTTGTCTCAGCACATCCCGTTCTATATTCGATGTGCGGTTGCCCGCTGCACCAGCAGCAGCTAGCCTGGCCAGCTTTGCTGGCGCAGTGCTCCCACGCTTTTCCATATCCTGCACAGATCATAGAATTAAGGTGCCTAGCCACATACTCGTAGCAAAGCTCGACCATCGTATGATCTGACTCATGATGTACATGTCTGGACTTCAAACTAGACGACCTCATAATTTGCACAGGCCTAGGTTGAGGGCTATTATTATAAGTATATCTAATTGGGGAGTGTCCTTGCAGGCATCATCAGCACACTGACGTGCAGCCCGAAAGCTCATGTCCTGCGGGGGAAGAATATAAACCGATAGTAAATTATACACTTCAGGGTTTAAGGTTTCAGGCTAGCCAACGAGAACCCTGTCCCCCTTGGCCACCATTGTGATGAGGTTATCCACCAAGCTGGATTGCTCTGCAGCCACTGGACCTGCGTGGAGAATCACTACGACACAGGCTTCGGAATTTAATGGGATCGGATTATTCGGAGGCTTCACACATGAGTCATTTTGTCCCGGGGCCCAGCGACACGGTGCTAGGATCAAACATCGCGATCGTCACTGTACGTCATGGCACAGTGACACATATGGCATCGTGATAGTGTACGGTGTACAATCAACACATGCAGCGCCGCATGTGGTAGGCTGTGCAATCCTATGCTCCAGAACCTATCCCCACTCTTCATTCGGCATTCCGGGATCCTATATTGCAGCTGGCGCATGCAGTTAGCACTAGGGTTTGTGCTGACGTGGGGGTCCGGATCCGTTGCCCAGCAGTGGCAAAAATTCAGTGCATACTCATGCGACCTAGGCATGTGCACTCACATGATACAGATAACCCTTCGATCACTTGTTGGCCGGCTTCTTCTTCGGTGCCGCTTTCTCCTCGGCCTCAGATAGAAAGAGACTGATACCCCCATACACCCCAAATCCCCAAAACCGGGTCTAGATAGTTAGTGGGTTTAGACGATGATCTGATTCAAGGCCTTTAACCCTCTAAGAACATCTACTAGTAAGAAGTCGAAGCTCAAACATCGTCTTCAGTTGTCGTTCATAGGCGTTGTAGGCATCCAGGGTCTTACTCAAAGCCGTGTTCAAAGGAGCAAGGGATGCATCGTCCTTCACCCCAGAGATTTTCGCATGCTGGAGTGCCTCGGTCGCTGCATTCATCTCCTTCTCGTGCACCTGGATCTCTTCCATGAACCCATCCCGCATTTTGGTGGTCATACCCACCTTTGCTTTGATGACTTGTTTCCAGCCTTTAATCTCCATGAGTTTGGCTCCTGACTCACGAAGCCGAGCATTTGCCACCGTCAGTGCAGGTTGGGACTTTGCTTGGGTAGTCTTTCCTTTCTGGGAAGTATTGGATGGCTGACCTCGTAGGGGTCGGCGACCGCCGCCTTTACCATTAGCCGGTAGCTGGGCTCCACCGAGTGGCAGGTTGGATCCTGGCATCTCCACCGCAGGTGGCTTCAGGCCGGTCTCGAGGGCACCCGGCTTCATCAACGATGGCCTCAATTCTGGGTAAGGCTAACTCGAGGTGGAATATATATAATGATACATCGAATTTTTAAATCTTAGATCTTCTAGAATATATATATATATAATATTAATTAATTAAATATATATAATATCGATCTAGATAGGACTAGCTGCACATGAATTTGGTAGGACACAATATATTTTTATTTATTATATGTTATAATATATATTATATATATATTTATTGCAATTAATTATTTTTGTTGGTTTCTGGGATATGTGGGTTCAATATATTATTATTATTATATAATTATTTATTATATTTATTAATGGGAATTGATCGTCTTTAGCATGCTTAAGGAGCTAACTTGCCTCTGAAAAGCAATAAATCTCAGGGCCCACCAAGCTCTTTATAATTAGGATATTCGGGTTGAAAGTTGGAAGGTTGTAGGTCGTGGATCCGTGAATCTAGAAGGGCATGGGATATTGGGGATTCGGATTTAGACAGTAACCGTAAACCCTAAACCTATAAACCCTAAAAGTTAGAACGGACGAGGGATGGCAAGGGAGCTACATAATCCGCCCGGTGACAGCACTTGGGCCGTCATAGCCCCATCCAGTTGCACACCGGTCTGGAAGGAGACCTCCTTGGTGTCCTTAGCCTTGCTGGTGACGGAACAGTGATCGAACATCAGGAAGAGCTCTTCGTCCTGCTCGGGCTTTAAGTTTTTAAACTACAGAGTAGGCTAGTGGCTAATGGTCCGGATTTTAAGGAATAGTGGGATCAAACTTGAGGGTTATTCGGGTTTAGCCCCCCCCCCCCCTCCAGGCATCCTCAACTCCCCTGAAGTCGGGGTTCTCAAACCAATAAGGCATGTTTTCGTACTTGTCACCGTGCATTTTTTGAAGCTCTTTCTTCTCGTGAGCGACAGACTGCGCAAGGAGCTTCCCGTGCTTCTCACGAATAGCTTTGTAGCTGAGGTAGCATTCTGCACTTTCAAACTTCTTGCTATTCTTGCGCTTGGCTTCCAAATAGATAGTGGAATTCAGCCAGTTCTCTTCGCTCTTGACCCACTCTTCGTAGAGCCCATCCAAGACCGCTTTGTCTCAGTGCATTAATTAATTAATGGTACAATATTGCAGACATCACACATATCACATATCAGATAAGTCACTCCGGTAACGGTTGGCAGCAGCATCGAGGATAGCCTGAGGGCAATTCGGACCTTAGCTCACACAGTCTCAGACTTACTATTCGTTTAGGTTGCATAAGATCTAGCACTAGTTGCAGATTCGCTGCTCTCAAACGATCGGGACATCCTTGCTTTGGAGGCTTTCATGGCAAGCCTTTCTCTCTCGGCTTCTGCCTTGATCAATGCCAGCTTCTCTGCTTCTAGTTCTGGCACCTCATCAGCTTTGATCTGGGTTCCAGGGTCCTGTTCAGAAAAGGCTTAGAGTGAGAGTTCTGGGCTTGTATTTACAGGTCCACTGGTCCTGCAAGATCTCGGCTGTGTCCCTGCGGTTCAGGCTGCTCACGATGGAATGGACTGCACTGGCAGCTGGAACCTGGATTGCAATCATGGGGCTGAAGAACTACAAGTACAAGCCTCAAGCTGAAGAAAGCCATTAATATTACGTATGATTACTGCAATCGAGTAACCCCTGGCTGTTCCTGGCCACTCTGATTGCCCCCCCCCTTCTCTGCAGCCTCACTTGGCTGTCCCTGGCCACTCTGATTGCCCCCCGCCTTCTCTGCAGCCTCACTTGGCTGTGCCTGGCCACTCTGATTGCCCCCCCCCTTCTCTGCAGCCTCACTTGGCTGTGCCTGGCCACTCTGATTGCCCCTCTCTGCAGCCTCACTTGGCTGTCCCTGGCCACTCTGATTGCCCCCCACCTTCTCTGCAGCCTCGGCTGGCTGTCTTTGGCCACTCTGATTGTTGCCCTGGTTCTCTGCAGGTTGGCTTGGCTGTGCTTGGCCACTCTGATTGTTGCCCCGGTTCTCTGCAGGCTCACTTGGCTGTCCCTGGTCCGCGCTTCCCTGGCCACTCTGATTGCCCATACCCTTCTCTGCAGACTCACTTGCCTGTCCAGCGTCCACCGGCTTCAGCTTGTCCTGGTCACAGACTATGCAGTACGAACCATTTGGCATGCATTGCACCAATACAACTACATCACAAGCCTGTTTTGAAATCCCTTAAGCTTCACACTCCTGCATATACTGCTCGGGTGGTAGAGGAGACTTCATCATCTGAAGAAGCTCAGCCTCGAAGTTTTCAGCATCAAACACCTCCAGAGGCATTAGGAATATATAGGACACGTAAGTCATGACAGATCAGCGAACACCCTCGTCCAAAGCTGCATTGAAGGAACCTCTAGATCTTCTGGCTGGCGATCCGAGCTGACTCCACGGGCGATGGCAGGGGTTGCAGGGTCCTGGCTGACAGCTAGGGGTTTACAAGCTATAGGTTGGGTTTGGGGTAGAGGGCTTTGTGGTTTGGGGTACAGGGCTTCGTGGGTCTATGCCTAGCTAGGCCTAAGTTTAAACACAAATTATGTAAAGTTCCTGGTGCGATAGCAGCACCACCTGCAGATTGTTGTCCGGTGGCGGTCCAACCAGGTCAGCAGGTGGCACCTGCAGAGCAGCTTTAGGTCATCATTAAGGGTTTAGGGTTTAGGGTCTAGGGATCTTATATTTTTTATGCTTATATAATTCGACAGCTAGATATATCTTATATTTTTTAAGTATATGTTTTATTTTATATATAGTTATAATTATAATATTTTTTAATAATATATATATATATAGTATCGTATAATTATCAGTAGTGTACCAATATAATTAGGGTTTAGGGACCCCCTCTCCTTCTTAAGTCGGTTTGAAGTGGGGTGGGCAGGAGGTTGAAGTTTCGGTGGGTTCGGCTTCATGCTTTAATGGGTTCAGAGGTTGCCGATGTGGCAGGAGTTCTTTAGGGTAAGGGGTTGGCGGCAGTGCAATTTAAATTGCAAGATAGATTGGCTCAGGGTTTCGTGTGGCTAAGATCAACAGCACTTCCTTAATATGTGCTAGCTATATATATATATATATTAATTTATCCCGAAACCATGAACCATCCCAGAAATCCACATTTAGGGTTTGGGGTTTAGGGTTTCATTTAGGATACTAGGTTATTGGTTTCCATTACAGCTAGTCGGGCCGTAACAGCTAAACTATACCAGTACAGCGTACAAAGCCCGATAACTGGACGAATGGTGCATCAACCCGGTAGCTGGCCTCTAGCTCTGCATCAGCATTAGCATTCTGTGGAGTAGCAGATTGACGAACCCGATCCTGCAGCTTCGCCTGAGCTACCTTGATAGCCTCCAGCTGGGTCGCTTCCAGCTCTGCCCATTCATTCATCTTGCAAACCATGACTGATCCCCACGATGTCTGAGGCACGGTGCGGAACATGGTATGCACATGCTGGGCGGCTACCTCCATTGCAGACACAGCTTCCTCCGACTTGGAAGCAGCCTCTTGCCTCAATCGGGCCTGCTCATCCTTTGCCCACTTTTCGGTCAGCTCTAGCTTCTTCGCTGCGACACTATCATCTAGAGAATAATTCTTCTTGATATGATCGGTCATGGTTTGTGCTGTAGATTGACACTTAGCCAACTTCAAGAACAAGTCATCGGTCAGGCGCTGGGAGTCCGACAGAACACCTAGAGCCAGTTCCATGGAGTCTCGTGTGGCTCGAACCTGTTCTTTCAGAATGGGCTTTGTGTTTTCATCAACAATTGTCTCAACAGCCTCGCCCGGAAACTCACAGATCAGCCAATCGCGCAACCCAAGCAATCCGAGACTGTAGCGGTTGCTCGCCTCATTAGCTTCCTCTTCGAAGAGAAAACTGCTAAGGATATCCGGAGTAGCTCCCGCCCAAAAGGAAGCCATGGATTGAACTCCCACAACACGGTCGGGGCTCTCCGTCGCAGACCATGTCGCTGTCGTCATACTGTCCAATGCATGCAGAGACTTCCCTGTACCTGATTCGAGGGCCTAGGGCTCGTTACATCGGTACATAGATTAAGTTGTATTCGTGTCTAGATCTAGAAAATAGATTATATATATATATCATATATAAATTTTATATGGTGATTATACTAATAATATTATTATATATTTATAAATAATATTATCATATATATATATAATATTAATTAATAAGATAGGACCTAGCATAACATAAAAACATGCAGGATCAGGTTCTAATAAGAATTTCAAGGCACCATTGGGCTGACCAGCTTCGTCACTTGTCTTAAGCCGCTTCGGGTCGCGAACAAGCTTTGGGCTGGGCACGGCTTGGGTGTCGGGGAGGGTGTCCGAGTAGGACACATCCTGGGAGGGCTGCTGACTGCTGAGTGTTGCAGCTGTTGTCTGCGTGGCAGGCAAGTCGGTCTGGGTTGCATCTACATGCTTGTTGGCTCGGGACAGCTTGGGATTGGTTCCAGAGGCCTTGCCCAACTTTTTCACCTCAGCAGCCTCATCAGCTTTGATGTCGTCACCAGTTGGGCTTCGCATCGGGGGCTTGTTGGCTGGCTTGCCTTTAGCTTTGCAGCTCGCCTTGGGTTCTTGCTGCTTCTTCGTCACCGTAACAGAATGGCCTGGGATGGTTCACGAGTTGTTTAGGATTTAGGGTTTTGTGGGTTTAGGGTTAAGGTTGTGGTGCATGTGCAAGCATGTATCCTATGTGAACACATATATGTTAATATTATAAGATCGATATCTATATACGTGTGTACACAGTACACAGTACACATGTATATAGATATCGATGTACATGTATATACATATATATATATATATTTGTACTATACTCTAATATATATATATAGTTTATATATTGTTAAATTGTATTTAAATTATTATAATTAACATGGATGTACATGATCATTAAATACATTTCGAATTCTCCTGCCACACGTATCACATGAATGAGCACATATATGCATATGGTAGTACTTAAGTGCATTGTGCCCCATGTTGGTCCCTATATATGTTTCACACATGTAAATGTACATGATATGTGCATTGCTTAACCATGGGAATACTAGTGCCGGCAACATAAGGTCTGAAGCAAGGTATCTTTTATCTTTAACATCGAATAGACTGAGCCCAGCAACTTACATGCTTGGAAGCCAGACCTGCCGCTTCCAAGGCTTGCAGCACTTCCTCATCGACATCCACAAATCGCCCACGGGAGCTGGCTCTGGAGGACTCCTGGGCAGCAGGAGGGATGCGAACATATGCTAACTGGTAAAGCTAGGACCGACCTTACGTGCACACCTAGCTTCAGAGCCCGCAAAAGAGGATTTGCGGCTGTAGGGCCCCGCCCGGGCCGATGATGGTGCAGCTTTCGGGGGCATGGCTAGCAACACCTAAGAAGATCCATGAAAATCTAGGCCAAAATGCTCTCCGAAGGCAAAAATTCCGAATCACGGCGAATCACGCTGAATCACGCTGAAACCTAGCTATGTATGGTTTTACGTGGCCGAATCACGGCGAATCACGGCGAATCACGCTGAATCACGCTTGCCTGCGCCAGCCATGAAACCGCCCGACACAAAAACAACATGACATGCCTCTGGCAGGCTGGCACAGTATACCTGAAGCATCTGTACATAGGCCCCAACCAGCCCATAAAACCCTGCCCTGGAAGGTTTCACGTAAACCGAGCCCCTATATAGCTAAAGAGAGCACTAAAACCTCACATGGCAGGGTTTACGTAGCTTGGGCCGATTTAGATCCTAATCAGTGTACGTATAGGGCCTAGGGTTTAGGGTTCAGGGTTAATTGATTTATAATGAGATCACATATGCTTGAAATAATATCGATCAAGATCTCTATCTTATATGTATAGATCATATATATATATATATATACATATAAGATAGAGAGAGATCTTGATCGATATTATTAAATTAATTTGAATTAATTAATGCATGGGGCCTGGGCCTGGGGGCCTGGGGTTTCTGTGTTGCCAGATGGTTTAAGATTTATTCAGATACAAAGCAGGTTAGAGGCTTGGGGTTTGGGCCTGGATGCTTTCTTATAATATTAGAGGAGAAGGGCTGTGATTAGGGTTCAAGGCTTTTCCTGTTTGGTAGGGGTACATGTTTACAATTTGGGTTTACACTCTTGAGCATCTAAAGTTCAGGGATTTTGTGAGGCCGAGTGTATCACCAAGGGCCCCAGATCGCCTGCATCCTGTCCTGTGCTTGCAAGCACCAAAGTAAAGACCTGTTAGTGTATCGACCCCCTACATCTCCATACCCCTTAACCCCTTGATATAGCACAGTATTATAAGCTGGAAATCGAAACAACGACCGACCGGTAAATAGCTCATAATTAACCTCAACAGCCGAAGCTACGAAACCACCCACCCCAGTAACCGGACAGACAGCATTAATGATTAATGAGCAAAGCCCCGACCCATTGTTTCTACAATCATGCTGCAATGATGGTCTGAGATGTATAACATAATCCCTGACTAGCTTGAGATCAGAAACAACTTGAAAGCCACTGAAATTCCATCGAGGCATTAGTCTGGCGTCGGATCATTGCACAGCAGCCGAAGGAGCTCCCAAGTTTGGGTTCCAGCATTAATTATGATGTAATTAGTTTCCAGGCACAGGCATAGACCACTGCCGGAGACAGTGCAATACATGTTTCACTTCGAATTACAAACTACTTACAAACTACTGTCATGTCTCAACAGCCCATCGCAGCATGGCAGCTTATTGCAAAAGCTTCTAGGGCTTTTAAGCTATATGCATTGAGGGATCTGGGTTGGGAGGTTACAGGGGCACTACTAGAGCAGCCAGCTACATGATCGGGCGCGTGGACCACGACAGCCCTGGACTCGGAACATAGTTACCAGCACTAGCAGCAGCTTGTAGAAAATCCCGGAGCGGCTCCAAGTCTGCCTCATCCCACTGCATAGCTGTTGGCAATGCAGGAACCTGCAAGAAACCCACACACAACTCAGAAACCTTTGTCAAAAGACTGACAACATTATATGCTTGCATGACACCTCACGGTCATGTATCTGCATCGCATAGAGGATGGCTTGAAGATCGGGAAGCACTGGCTCTTCCGCCGCGACAACCTGCGGCTGGCAAGGGCACTGGGCAGGGTCTTATGTTTTTTTAGTGTTTAGGGTTTAGGGTTTAGTATTGGTTAGAAGGGACGGGGTTTGCAAGTTTATATAACCGGGGATGCATAGGAAGAAGTTTAAGAGGCTTCCGGCATTGGGAGTGTGTGGGAGTGTTGGGGCTTGCGGTCAAGAGGTATACTTAAGCATTGATGTGGAGGGTTTAGGGTTTAGGGGTTTAGGGGCTGCATGTGTTTGTTTACCCACATATAAGACAAGATTTCCTCGAGGATTTCAGGCTACACTGTTCAGAGAGAGCCCTGTACTCTTGTAGATATGGCATTCGGAAGACTAAATAAAAGACACAAACTACAGCTGGAACTCGAATCCTATTATACCTGGAATCCTATAGGGCCCTTCCATTAGACAGTCCGATAGACCGACAAGCAAATAACAGGAGTAATTATTAATTTGTTTGATATATTCGCTCCATTATTAGACAGATCTACAGGAACAGATAGTACATGTAGAGCGAACGATAGGTAGATCTTAGCTTTATGCCATGATAGCATATTCATTATAATATATATATATATACATACATAATAATAATAGATTATAATATAATATATTATAATTATTTATTATTATATACTTAATAATCTATATCTACCAATATCAACTCATGAGCATGCAGTCTACCCCCATAAGCTGTATACTGCATGATCATGAGTTGATATTTATTGTGTAAACATTAATATTGTATTCGATTTATTATATCCCGATAGCTATCTATATATATATATGCCATGATCAATATTCATATGATATTTAATTTAATGTATATATATATTATATATATTATATATATTATATATATATACATATAACTTCGATTCTATACATATGTATACGGATATAATATGGTTATTTTATATACATAGCAACAGTTTCAGCCCGAACCCTCTTTTTTGAACCCGGGCTACAATCCTATTCTGCTGGGAAATCGGTCACACCCCGAACCCTAAGCTCCAAAACCCAGGCTCCACCTGAAGCTCCAAAACCCAGGCTCCGATTCAGGAAGTCGACCACACCCCCACACTAAGCACCGAAACCTGAAAGCAAGCCCTAAGCCCTCAGACCTAAAACATAAACCCTAGCCACCCACACCATAACCTGAAAGCTATGCCCTAAGCCCTAAGCCCTCAAACCTAAAACATAGACCCTAGTCCCTAAATCTTAACCAAGGAAATTCGATTCCGATCACGACTGCAACTGCAACAGCTGCCTTGGCATGAAGATGTGCCACCCGATTGCCAAATGTGGCAGGGTATGCCTGGGAGGCTTCCATGTCTTTGCCACCGGTCCTGAAAGTCGGACAGGCTTCAACAGATCGTCATCTTAGCTTTCAGAATCTGTCATGTCCACTACTGCTTGCAAGTAACACAATCTTCTTCCCATTCTTCACAGCTCTGACCGACATGACTTTGTTCATTTCGGATGCACGGCAATAGATCTGTCTTCGGATCTCTCGGGTGAGGCGGTTCTTCAGCTCCGAAGCCCAAGGCCTTGGTAGGAGTACACATACTAGTATGGCTCCCAAATTACATAAACATCACTGCCTAACGGATCGAATGTTGAGCACTGAAATACTTGGTGCCACACACTGTTGCATAACCCTTCGAGGGCTTTGGAGACCAATGGCCATAGGGTCCCATCCACCTGAGCTAACCATCATCAATCCCTGGATAGGTAGCCAAACCCCTTGAGATCTAGCCAAGCATGGGCGTGTCGTTTCGGTTTTGGGATTTGCAGGTTTTGGGGAGGTGGTTTCCACTTATTATAAGCTAAAATACCATGATCATGGGAGTACTCGTAATTATAATTATATAT